CTTCAAAAATAACATGACTTGTTCCGCTTGTTTTCATGACGGTCAGGTGAACAGTTACCTGTGACAAGGTAGGTTTTTTGCGTTGAATGCAGCGAAACTTAGTACGGCGAACGGGTGTAGAAACATCTATCATTATTTGACTGAAACGGTTTCAAGAGTGAAGTGATCTGATGCAAAGAAGCAAAGGCTTTAATGTAGCTCCCAAAATTAGCAGTTTCCAGCTGAGGTTAATCAGCTAGTAACTAGTAGGTAGTTTACACAAACTTCAGTCCAACTGGAGGGCGCAATGCTTGCTCCGAGCAGCTTTTGCTTTAGAACAGGGTGACTGGTTTGGCTTAGCTATTTGGCAATCGGCCCTTCTTTTTAGTTTGACTACTTAAGTGTTGCTTCTGAAAAGACTTGCATATTTCAGTCTTCTGAATAAAAACACTCTATGTAAAGTCTTCAATGGGCCTGTTTGCATCACTCTTTCTCCTATGAGGATACGTGCACCATATTAAACACTAAGGTAACACCTTTCTTGTCCTCAGTATGGATCATTCTAGCATTCGACACGCTTTAATGGCAAATCGCCATCATCAGCTCCTCTATCATCAGATAGGGGACGTTTGTCTACGGCACCTAGACACACTGTACAGTTTCGAACATATTCTGTTCAAAAATTTAAAATGCCTATTAATTGCCGTGGACAAACGTTCATTTTCTAACGATGGAGGTGATTGCGAGTTGCTATTCCCACTACTAACGGCCTCGATACGGTTACCTAAAACAACAAACTTGCACAATCAGCGTTACTTCCTTTCCCTCGGTCAAACCATTCCCTTGTCTCAGCCTGCTATTTACTGCGTCTACCCCATATACTCGATATGCATTTGTAATCCCTCATGAACTTTTAACCCTTGATATGTCGAACCAATTTGGTCGACCATCTTTTACGCGTGCTTTTTGACCACCTTGCGTTACCATGTGTTGTACCCAGGCGTGTGTTGCAAACTAAGATCGATTTGCGATCTTCTCCGAACTTTCTTCGGACTTGCACTACTTCTTTCAACAGTTTAGACGGAATTCCCCATAATTTCGGGTTTGTGCCCCTTTTATTACGTATTTTGTGTATCTAGCTCCGCATTTCATTGATAAATCTCAAGAATTCACAATTTCCGGCTTTTGATTTTGCGCGTCACTCAATTAGGCTTTCCCGGATACGTTGAAGTATTCTACAATTAAAGTATAAAGATAGAAGGACGGCAAGTCTGTCAATGCTGTGACAGCGCGATAAGTGCAATGCACTTCAGCATGATAGATTTTCAAACAAATTACAACCAGATCTGAAGGACTGAAGCAGAGTACTCAAAAGATGGCAGACAAGTCTGATTGATTGACTGACTTTCGGTCCTATGTCGATAAAGCATTTACTTGTAGGTCATCTGAACTTTTAACGCCACTGTGTGAGTCTACAATTTTCTGCCTCCTTATTTCATTAGGGAATTTAACTTATGAGGAGGAAGTTACTGAACATAATGTCGACACTTGTCCATTTCTGAAAAATAGATGGAGCAAATTTCGCCTGCTTTAAACATGGAACGAAGTGGAAAAGTAATCAGTCATTCAAGTAGAAATCTGCTATCCATTACCTGTCAGCAAAGCTTCAAGATAGGTCAGCAAACTGGGTCTTGTGACCCCTTTAAAAGCCCAAGAAATGTAAACCAGGTGTCCACATTTGATAGAATGTTTGCCGACGGAAGAAGCGGATTTCCCGTCAAATGTAGAGCGGCCTTTATTGGATTGATTCAAGGTGTTCTTTCACTTATAACTCAAGGAATATCTTGTACTGTAGCATAGTAGAACTCACGCTCGAGAAGCTGTGAAAGTAATCGCGTAGAAGCCGTTTTTTGTCTACTGTACGAAGTAATCTTTATGGCCAGTAGCAGAACGAAAATCGTTAAAGCAGCCATCAAAAGGACTTGTAACGCTGCTTACGTTTGCTGCTGAAAACCAAGGCTATAGCACTGTGACCAAAAAAATTCTAAAAGTTCGCTCGACGTCAAACTGGATCCAGTGCTTCACGTGCAGTTGTGGTTATGTCTACATTGAGCGAATGGGTTGTAGCTTGGGGGTGGGTATGAGGATCGTTCTTCATGTTTGTATCGAGCCAATAATCGTCATTCTTCTTTTGGCAGGAAGCACCCCTCTTTCTTCGTCAAATACCTATCAACTGTGGCTACATGTTTTACATTAATTGGGCCGTTTAAGTCATCCCGCGAGACTTTGTTGGTCACCTGTCTTAAAAACGTATTAGTTACTAATTCAGGCCACGCCTTAGTTCACAAAAGCCAACGAGCCAGAAGCTACGCCCACACTGGTCCACGCAACCCGGTCATACACTATATGCCATTCAAGTAGAACTTGAACTTATGCGACACGTACGTAGTGCGGCTGATAAGACCATTCAAAATGGCACCAGCCCACACAAATTGCCTGCTTATATCGTCATTCGTATCACAGTTCACAGAAATTCAACACGTAAACTCGCTTTCACACCAGTGTTGCTCTCATAGGAGACTCATCTGAATCCCAGCTGAATCTCTCGTTTATGACTCGGCTAGGAACCAAATTCTCATACAAATTAGTGCATCTGTCGATTTCTGTGCAATTTGAAATCAGTAGAACATAAGACTGACAGAAACTCAGGGACTGTGCCTATATGCAAAGCTCCAAGAAGGACGAAACAAGCGGTGCGCTCATCATTAGTTTCCTCACCATAATTTAGCTGTGCATAATTTCCTTTGGGGAAAACTTGCTGAACTGATTTCACACCAGCAGAGGACGGGCGCAAAAATCCTACGATCTTTTTAATCAATGGATTTCCTATTTTATTCCTTTGATTCCACCCACCACTCTTGAAGAACCAGAGCAAGTTGGCAATTTTGTCACCGAGGGGTTATTCTCAGAAACTGCGCTTAATTCTCTACCAATTATTAATTCACCAACCAGACAAAAACACCCAAACACGTGTGGTGGTGGGATCTCAGTGTTCCGATGCGACTCTAAGGCTAGAGGTAGTAAAGATCGATCATGCTCACCTGTATTTTGAATTAACATTAGAAGCCCATACATCAACCTTAAGCGACGGAGTGAATCCGGGAAATTCTAGTTACAGTTCACAACAATCGTACGCGTTATTTCGGTCGTTATTTCAGTATTGGATTGGCAAACCAGTCAGTGGGTTTGCAGTCGCACACAGGCAGTAGGCTCTTCATTCCATGTCAACATTATTCTTTCTGTTGTGAAACGTTCCGAACCAACTCAAGAGTCGTTCGAACAGCTGTGACGCCCACTAATATAACCGTACACATTACACGAATATCCACGTGTATTCGGTTGAACTCGACTGTCGAACAAAATAACACGCGTTCAGTCGTTGACAACTTGCCTCACTTGAAGTCTGCTATCTACTGTTCTGCCTAGAAACGGGAAGATATCTTTGAACAATCGATACCAACGTTGTTTTGTAACAAATGCGTGCTTGTCGGAGACTACGGAGATGATTTTTATGCTCTTAGATTAGATGCACTTGTTTTACAGTTGTCGAAAGAATATATACATGTTAACTTTCGTTTGCCCCGTCAATCCACAGTCAAGTTGGACTACGGGTCACCCAACACTAAATTCTACTCATGTACGACTTGTCTGCACAAATGTCAAGTCAAAGAAGATCGACACATCCAACCGCAGACAAACCGCAAAAGTGTTTTCCTTTGTAACTTCGATCAAATTTTCTTCCGTCGGCTTTCTTTTGTCTGGTCCACAGACCGCAGTTTTTAGGCTGGCGAAAAACGTGCCAGTGGACGCGGACACAGTGTAGTTCACCACACTGAGAATTCAGTCCCATAAAAACATATAAAATCGACGAGTGTGTGGATCCGCCAGTAGTTGGAGCTCAGGACTGAAGCAAATGATCAACACAACGAATGTTGGCAATAACACGACGGAAGCAAATAGGTGTCAATCGGCGTAGTTCACCGATTAGATATCTGTCTCGCGGCATGAAATGTTTATCACGTGCCTTTAAGTAAACATGCCACCTTGCTTTAACAGCTTGACAACAGCATGACTAACTATTTCACATGTTAGCATAGAAGTTAATGTGACGAGGGACTGTCGTATACCTAGTCCTTAGTCATTCAGTCGAAACGTGATGCTACGAAACTGAATTCCGGAAAAACTTCGGTAACAGACAGAACACGTACAACGGGTTAGAAGTCATCTAGTTCAATTCCTCAGAGCCAATTACATTTACACCAAATGCCTCGCTTAGCCACATGTTGTGCCACGTCTGGTCGTCCCATTATCCTCAGTTAACTTCTTCAATGCATATAGATTATAGCTTGGCCTTGAAAATTGACCGCGCTTGGTACTCTAGAAATAAGAACCAAAGTTACTCCGATGCCCCATAAGCTTAATGACACCTTCATCAGTCTGTCAGCGTGCTGCCAACGGGCAGTTCCAACCTAGCGGTGCAGAAGGAGTTCGTTACTGTTGATGCGGCTATCAGAAAAGAACGAGATACGTCGGTTGAAGGGATTGTAACTAATGATGGTGGTGACTAAAACTGTTGAAAGATGTGGAAAAAACCGTGCGAACAGCGGACACAGGCGGTAGAAATCACATCCACTTATATGGAAGCTAGGATTGCAGAGCTTCTTTAAAAATTGCATACTCCGTGTCCCAAATAAAGTGGAACTAAGTTCCCCCCCCCCCACCAAAAAAAACCACACCTATGAAAACTTTTACTTGTTAAATATTCCTACTTTTTCAAACGGCTTTTACCTCGTGTACTTTGTCACTTAGTCACATTTGTCATATTGACGCTTATATCCAGAAAAGGAGCGCGCCAGCATGACATGGTTGAGAAACAGTCCAAACAACTCCGACAGGACACTTACACATCTCATCACCACGGACGCAGAAACAAATTTCAAGACTTGCGTTCATTTGCTTACCTCTGGAGCACCATACTTTCGTCTCAGCTGTGGAGTGTAATAGTTGGAAAGTGATGTGAATCCTGTTGTGGCGGACGACGAGCTTGGACTTTGAGACAACGTTGAGCCTGGACTCACTCCACTGGATCTATATCGGGAATTGCTCCTCCTAATTCCTGAGCCCAAGTAAGTGGTCGGAGTTGAGCTGGAGTTGTACGTGTTGGATGGGGAAAGCGAGGTACCATGACTACTGGTACCCGAACTGGTTGAAAGTCCACTCAAATAAGTTCCCAGTGGGCCACCGTAAAGCATTGCAAAGAAAAAAATACTAAACCAAAAACAGAGTGATCAACCTCCTCAAGTCAAAGTGAAGCACTCATTCCGTGGGTCTAATCTGCTGTGTTTGTATGTATCAAAATATTCGAAGCTTAATCCTTTCATACAACAGTAGTCCGTTCGGCTAAGCGATTACTATGATACGCTCCTAAGCATGCACAGATGTAACGAAAATAGGCTCGTATGATAGACACACAGATTTGTCTGTGCGACACACTCGGATACGGTTGCACACAAGCACCACGCTTTCGGTGCCTTCATTTGACCTTTCGAATGCGTACGCTTGTAGAACAGGTTGGTTGGTGGGCCGGTTGGTTGGTTGTTTCGGGACACGCATTGATTGCCATCAAGCTTTTCGCCCTGCCAACAACAACAACAACCGAGAGAATGTCTGCTGTGTCTGCTCTCCGAGCTATTGTCGTATCAGACGATCGATCGGGGATGAGGGAAGAGTGACTTTTTTGTTTTTCTGCACCGTATCATTGCTGCGAGGACACGACTGACCAGGAATCTTGTGGGGGTAAATTGTGCACATGTTATGTGTCTGTTTTGTTTCATGTGTGTGTGTGTGTGCGTATGTTGTTCTGCCTTCCGATATTGGTGCGGCACAAAATAAATGGATTTCCAAGAAGAATCAGCTCAGGCAAAGTAACACCATCATGTGTAATCATGACATCGTAAAATTAACAGAACAGCAAGTAAGACAGGAATATGGATCTGATGATGCAGCTTACGCTGTCAAATTGTTATGGCGGTCACACAGGCGTAACTTGAACGCTCTAAAAGGGCGTTGAAATGATTCGTCAGTTAAAACTATTGACCAATGGCCAAAGACTTCCCATCTGTTGCGCTTGCTAGCCGAACCGGTCAAGAAAGGTCACTCATTGGAATTCAAGAAGCATCGGAGAGTGTGGAGAAGTATAATAATACCTGGATGGTTGTACTGGCTCTCACGGAAGTGTGTTTTATGAGGTCAACGCAGAAATCTTGAAGGTTTGAACCACATTTGTCAAATTGCGTCATTTGTGTTTTCAAAAAGCATATCACCAGGTTTCGAGACTGCAAGTTACAGTAACGGCTGTGTTGTTGTATGATTGCGAGAAATAATCTTTGTGGTCAGATGACCCTGAGCATCTCCAGTTTTTTTTACCACCGTTATCTTAGAAGCGTTTCTGGCCAGAGGGTGTCGGCGGATTCGCAAGGATTTAGTTGGAAAATAGGCATTTGGTTGTGCGCGAGGTACTTCAGCATCACAAACTGCAGCGAATCGGCCATTTTCTACCAGTGTCGAGTCATCTACTGAGACGAGTATTGTTCTCCCTGGTTTCTTGAAAATGGTACAGACTGAGAGATGAATAATGCGTGGCTTATCAGAAGGGTGTGAAATAGATTATGAGGAGTTTTGCTGTTGTTGGTATGGTCTCCCTTCCACGTTGATGCCCCATCAGCCCCCACGTCTAGTTGGAGACGCTGCATGAAATGACGACTAATCGATGCCAGTGACAATCGTGCCGTCGGCTCCTGATTGTCTGATTGAACATTTGGAGGTGTAGACACCTCAGAATGCTTTCAGTAGTTTAGCACCAGATCCCTTCTTCTTCCACTCTTTTTTTCACTTTACGGAATTATGTAGAATTAAGTAGACTTTGTAGTTGTACGGCAATGTCAATCCTGATGATGCTGTTTCTGATGATGATGATGGTGTGGTGATGGGTGGTGTTTGATCCATCTGAGGTGAGTGGAATTAAGAGAATGTTGTTTAGTTCGTTGGATTATACATTGATTTGTTTTTTCTTTGCCCTAACACTAGTGGATAATACATGTGGTACATCTAGTGTCCTCTACCGCATGTCATCCCCTTGGATGGTGATGTGGTGTTTACCGGTAACTTGACAAGCTCGGTGAACGAGACAACAACCAATAAGTCCAGCTGAGCCACCAATACACTGAAACACCAACATACCACCAAGAATAACATCAAAAGTTTACTATAGTTTAGCCATTTTGAACAGCAGATAGGCACGGATCTTCTTGGACAACCTTTCGTAGCATACTTAGTTAAAACACGTCACAAACAAGGGATTCGGCTGAGATTTTTAAATGGCACATTATCACCAGAAAACAAGTGTTGATGACTGTTTTTCATCACCTGCACCGCAGTTCTGTCTAGGTTGATCAAGTAAGATATGATGATGATGATGATGATGATGATGATGATGATGATGATGATGATGATGATGATGATGATGATGATGATGATGATGGTAGTGATGATGATGATGGTGGTGGTGATGGTGGTGTTTGATCCATCTGAGGTGAGTGGAATTAAGAGAATGTTGTTTAGTTCGTTGGATTATACATTGATTTGTTTTTTCTTTGCCCTAACACTAGTGGATAATACATGTGGTACATCTAGTGTCCTCTACCGCATGTCATCCCCTTGGATGGTGATGTGGTGTTTACCGGTAACTTGACAAGCTCGGTGAACGAGACAACAACCAATAAGTCCAGCTGAGCCACCAATACACTGAAACACCAACATACCACCAAGAATAACATCAAAAGTTTACTATAGTTTAGCCATTTTGAACAGCAGATAGGCACGGATCTTCTTGGACAACCTTTCGTAGCATACTTAGTTAAAACACGTCACAAACAAGGGATTCGGCTGAGATTTTTAAATGGCACATTATCACCAGAAAACAAGTGTTGATGACTGTTTTTCATCACCTGCACCGCAGTTCTGTCTAGGTTGATCAAGTAAGATACGCCAACGTTGTGTTTTCGAGTTGCGGAAGGCCAGGTTGGTGTGACAATCGGCCAGTACGTGATTAAAAGTCATCCTAGGAAAATTAAAAGTTCATTGTCCACAGTACCTGGTCCTGTTCCTGATACTTTTAAAAAACATTTTTTTCCTCCACATGGTCCAACGGCGAATGTCCTGGTTTGAGACCTCTGATGGATTACACATATAGCCTCTGACGTTCAACCTCAATTTGAGATACCATCAAAATATAGAGAGTTTCGTCCATATTTCTCAGTCCACCTTAGCGTTAGGGCTATTCAGTGAGTAAACGCACTAAAACCCATTTATTAAGCTTGTAACTTAGTCTGCTAACTTTTGCGTGAACCATCCATTAGAACAAATTTCTTGATGGTTTCGATTCACAGTGTGTAATAATGTAACTACATATGAAAGCCACTGAAGAAACTAATTCGAACTTAGAAATATCATTATCTGGGGATTCACAGGAATCACTGAGAACATCCAGGACACCACCATTGAGAAGGAATGTTTAGCGACCGTCTGGGCCCTGGATAAGTAGGGGCCATATCTGCTTGGGCAAAGATTTCATATCGAAACCGACCACAAACTCCTGGCGTGGATCGGGACCACCAGAGATCCTCGCGGGAAGCTCGCGCTCTATGCGCTCCGGTTGCAAGAGTACGACTTCACAATCCAGCACGTACCCAGGAAGGAGAACCACTTGGCTGATTGGCTGTCAAGGCCAGAGGCTGAAGATGAGGTCCACAAGATCGTGACTGGAGCCAATAGCCTCGTCGTCGAACTGTATCCCGGAAAGTTGGTGCAACTCCAACGGCAGGATCCTATGTTACAAAAGGTTGCAGCCGCCTTGTTGGATGAGAACGGAATATTGAGAACGGAGAGGGAGACAAGGAATTAGAAACGTTCCAGAGTCAAATTGATCGGCTGACGCTGAATGAACCTGGCATAATTTCCTGGAACGCCACTGATTCGGATGTTGTGCTGCCCGTGATACCTCGCCTCTTGAGAAGGGATCTTATCGTCGAATGCCATGAGATGGCACATACAGGGTGCACCCAGAGGAACGACTTACTTCGACAGAGGGCCTACTGGCCCGGGATGAGAAGTGAGGTGATGGATTATGTGGTGTTCTGTAAGCGTTGCCAACTTCTTCCTTTCAGATGATGCTGTCGCCAGGATAAGGATGAAAATCCCGTGGCCGCAACCCTTTGAGGATGGAGATGTTCGGACCTTCCTGGAGGACTTAGAGGAGGTTGCGGAGGCTGTCGGGCTGGAGACCGACCGGGGTAAGCTGGCAGCGCTGAAAAACCTCGTCAGAGGCCGGGCGAAGGCGGCTCTGGATGCGGCCAGAAGAGGCCCTCGGAAGACGGACTGGGCCGCCGCGAAAGAAGTCCTTGCAGCGGAGTTCGACACACCGGCCGACCGCCAGGAGGCTATGACGCGGTTCAAGACGGCCAGGATGGCACTCTGATCTGACCCGACCGTGTTCTTCGCCGGCCTGCAGTAGCTGTTGGATCGCGCTTTGCCGGGGCTGGACGGAGTGTCGCGACACCAGTTGCTGTCGGATCAGTTCGTCGAAGGTGTGCAGCCGGCGCTTGGTGCCCAGTTGCGGTTGGCACGAGCAGCTGGCCAGTTGAGTGTGGAGGAGCTGGTGCGTCTGGCCCGGGAGCTGCCCGAGGAACCACTGGCCACGTTGCAGTCGCAGAAGAACGAGGATGGTTCATCAGCGGAGGAACTGCAGACCAGGGTGGAACAACTCGCCGAACAGCTGGCAGCCGTGAAGACGGAATCGCGGAGGCACACTCGAACCAGCCGGTGCTACATGTGTGGCAGGCCTGGCCACTGGAAGAATCAGTGTCCCCGTACCCGATCACTTTTACAAAATAAAACTTTAGAGTACTCCTCTTTTCAAAAGAAGAAAAGCGAAATTCTACGAACAACACGTACTACTCGCGTGCCTCCCCATCAGTAGTGACGCCGTTACACCATTACTGTCATCGAGAAATGTGGATATTTCGACCCGTGGACTATAAGACGAATAATACAAAACGCTAATTTTATCTAACACTATTACTTCTGTCTGTCTGCTGATTCATGTCACATTTTCTAAGTTTCAGATGTGATGGGATGCCGTCTTAACGAGACTGTGCCTCATTGCGGATCGGGTTTTTGTGAATCTTTTGTGTAGTGCTGGAGTTTATTGGATGGAGATATGCCAAGCGGACCCTGGTCCTCCATATCGGTATCTGGAACAGATATGTTACATGGTTCCTCAAGAAAGTTACACCAGGTCTCCACCAGATCTACTCCACTCAGATCCACTCCACCACCGTTACCTTGC